ATATCTTTGTAGAAATACCAAATTAAGATATTCGACCATTGTTTGGTTTTATTTGTGTCTTCGGTTGATTTTTGAGACAGTGTCTCATTATGTAACCTAGGCTGGCATCCAGGTGACCATTCTGTCCCCATCTACCAAAGCACCATCAAGCTCTTTGCTCACTGAAGTCAAAACTTCTTTGACAGAGTCTCACTATGTAGCCCAGGCTGGCCTGGAACTCACTATGTAAACCAGGCTGACCTTAAATTCACAGAGAGAGATCATCCTCCTGCCTCTGCCTTCTGAGTGCAGATTAAAGGTGAGCACCACAACTGGTTAAGTCCTTTGACTTTTGACACAGAGTTTCATGTAGCCTAAGCTGAACTTTATGTAGCTAAAGATGACCTCGAATGTCTGATTCTTCTGCCTTAGCCTCCTGAGTACTGAGATTACAAGTGTGTGCCCCAATGCCCGACTTACGAAGTACTACAGATTGAACCCATACTAGGCAAGTATTCTGCCAAGTAAGCTACATCCCAGGCCTTTAAAATGCCGTGATAATTGTCTAGCCAGGAGATTTTGCTTACTTGTTCGGTCTTCCTTGGCTTCCTATGCTGTAGCAGGACACCATGGGAAAGAGGATTTGCTACAGCCACTGCCTCAAGCAGGACTTTCTGGGGTTGTCTTTGGACTGAAAGGCGAATTAAATGTTTTCAGAATGGGCTTGGTGGTGGGTTCCCAGAAGTTGCAACTTTTACTCATCATCATGGCATTCCACCAATGTGAAGGAGAGTGGATATGAATGTCCTAAATGCCAGAAATGTGCACACCTCAGGCAAGGCCTTCTGGTTTTTTTTTTTTTTTTTTTTTTTTTTTTTTTTTTTTTCCAGCATCCTGGTCTGTTCTTTCTTCAGGGGACAGACTAGACTGATTCTTGGCTCTCAAACCTATCATTGGTTACATTAGAATTCTTGACCTATATGACCAGATACACAAAGTAGCTTCATGGAGATGAACATGTGAGGGCCTAAGCCACTTGCTTGGCGTTAAAAAACATTTAGTAGAATAACAAGGCATATCCATTAGGCACCAATAGGAAAATGCAATCAAAACATTGAACTACGTGGCTTTCCAACTATGACTCAACTCCCCATTGATGATGTCTTCCAGTTTCTTCCACTCCAAGAAGGTAGAACTCCACAGCTGATTTTCTGTCTGTAGGGACCTACCTACCTTCCACAGCATACTGTTGATGTTATTTTATTTATTTTATTATTTTTTGTGTGTAGGCATTCTGTCTGCATATATGTTTATGCCTTATGTGTGCCTGGGGCCTACAGAGACCAGAGGAAGATAATGAATCCCCTGGACCGGTGGTTGGATGGTTGTGAATCACCCACCATGCGGATGCTGGGAATCAAACTCAGGTCTTCTGGAAGAGCAGTTGATGCCCTTAATTGTTTAGTGATCTCTCCAGCCCCCATTAGATACTCTTACTTAGATGGTTACTCCAAGCTTTGTTATGCTATACCAGTGCTCTACTATTGAACTATATCCCCAGCCCTCACTCAGATATTTATTCCTATCTCTTGTAGCAACCTTCTTTAAACAAACTTGGAGAGCTTGATTTAGAGGAAATTGATGTATCTGGGCTATTAGCACCATCATTTCTATCTGAAGGGGAATCATTAAGCCTTAGAATTTTAGTGTTAGTCTGGGGGCTACACTAAATGGCCCAGGCTTGTCTTTGATCAAGACTCTTAAAATTATCCCACCATTTCTGGATTACCTGAAGGTCATGGTCACTGTGACTCAGCCCATTGCTCTGTGAAACATTAAGTTCTTGTAATGTAGCAAAGAAAGTTTCAAGATTCAAGTGATATGTCAGGAACCTAGCCCATAATGATTGCTTTTTTCAAAGATGACTTTTTTGTGGGTGAGGAGGTTCGCTGTATTGCTTTGGAGCCTGTCCTGGAACTCGATTTGAAGACCAGGCTGGCCTCGAACTCCCAGAGATTTGACTGCCTCTGCCTCCCAAGTGCTTGGATTAAAGGCATGTGCCACCAACGTCCAGCCAAAGATGACTTTTTTACATTCCAGTATTCCAGAACCATAGACACAATACCCTAATGGAAATTACTAAATCGAGAGGTTCTTACTGAGACAGGAGTATCAGAGGTGAACTGTGATAGCTAGACTGAGGCCACCTTTGTCCCATACTTCATCATGGACAGAAAAGGGCAACATGAAGTTTAAATGAAGGACTGGAAGGTCACTGTCCACACAAACCTCTTTGCTATGTTGGGGGCTTCATCTAACCTTGTGTTCTCTCTTCTCACATAGGGCCACCTGGATGCTGGCCTAGGAATGACAGTTTAGAGACCCTATCTATATACTATAAATCACTGTGGAGGTCCTGGGATCTTCTCCAGACACTTCCAGGCCTTTTGCAAACATGGGCATATTTTAATGTCAAAGTTTGGAACAATAGCACAGACTTCTCTTTTCTTTTATTTTTCCAGTCAGTGTTTCTCTGTGTCTAGGCTCTGTAGACTAGGCTGGCCTAGAACTCACAGAGATCCACCTGCCTCTGCCTCCCAAGTGCTGGGATTACATGTGTGTGCCACCACTGCCTGGTTCAAACAGATTTCTTGATGTTTGGTGTTGGACATTTCCCTGACCACTTGAGGCCTGTTCTTCAATGTTATGGCAAAGCCATGAATTTCATGATATTTATGCAAGACTCAAATCTACACTGATGTTGCCTTCCAACTCCTTCTATTCCTGGAAGGCTGAGCTCCATCTTTGATATTACCATCTCTCAGTGGCCTACATATCCCCTTGTTCTTTTCTGTCTTCTTGAGTTATCTAGAACTCTACCCTCATCTTTTACTTATTTCAAAGGACTTTCCTTAGATTGAACAGGGAAGGTTTCAATCCCCTTTTCTAGCTTCAGTCCTGACATTTCTTGTTTTCTCTTACAACTTTACTTTCACCCTAATATTTTATTACATTCATGGATTGATTGATTGATGTGCCACAGCATACTTGTAGAGTTCAGAAACAACTTGTGGGAGTCAGTACTCTCCTTTCATTATATGTGTTCCAGGGATAGAACTCAGGTTCATCAGATGATAGATAGATGACAGACATAGATAGACACACAGGCAGATAGATAATAGATGATAGAGATAGATGAGATAGATAGATCAGACTCATCATTGACAGCAAGTGCTTGTACCTACAGAGTCATCTCACCAGCACACCTTAATATTGCTGAAAAAAATATATCTCACTTTTTAACATAAATTTTACTTATGTATTTTTTTTAATGTGTGAGTGTTCTGCCTGCATGTATGCCTACATGCCAGAAGAGGGCATCTGGTCCCATTATAGATGGTTGTGAGCCATCATGTGGTTGCTGGGAATTGAACTCAGGATCTATGGAAGAACAGCTAGTGTTCTTAAATGCTGAGCTATCTCTAGCCCAAAAATTGGTATGGCATATATTTCACTTTTTTCAGAGTTTGGAAAACCACAGATCTGTTCCATTGGCTCCCACTAACACCTTTAGAAGAAAAAAATAAAAAACAAAAAACCCCACAGGATTGAACGCTTACCCCAAGCTTGTGAGGTAGTAAAGGGGTTTAGGTGCTGGGTTTTTCTGAGCTCTGGTGTCTTAAAGATGAAACCTGAAGCCTGATGCCCTACCAACTCTCCTTTCCCAGTGTGCATTGTGCCACACACTGACAAGCCCCACCCCTAATTCAGAGGTAACACTGATACAGAAAGAACCCAGACTGTAACAGTAGGTCTACTCTACCCCCTCAATCCCAGCTTCCTAGATAGCACTGCAGAGGTTTGGCTTGAAAAACCAGGTCTGGCTAATTTGTGGTTCAAATCCAAGCCCTCTAACATGGGTCAGAGGCTCAGTTTACAATCCCACAGGAAATGGGGCTGCATGGAGAGATCACTTGTTTTCAGATGACCACCTAGGTTACAGACAGAATGTTTTCTTTCAAGGCATAACCACAATAGAGGGATCAGGGCACCAGAACATGAGAAGTCAGAGAGAAGGTCACAGGGCTCAGGGAAGGCCCTGGAAGGTAGGCAAGGAGATGCAGAAGGGGAGAGGGGTGTGTCGGGGAGATCTGGGAATTAGGAAATGGGTTCAGGGGCTCAGGAGGCACATGGGGAAAATGCTAATGTTAGAAGCTCAGAAAGCCAAACTTTCTCTGTAAATCTTTGGTTAGATTTGGTTCTGGGAGTAAGGATTCCAGTGCTGAGTGTCTGAGGCTAAGACAGCAGAATAAGACCGTTCTGTGTTTGTTTTGTGTTTGTTTATTTGTTTGTTTGATAGAGCCCTCTTTAATTTGAACAAGAAAGGGCATTGCCACCAGGCTGACCAGTAAGGTCATAGTCAAGCATCCTTCCCTCCAGCATGCTGAGTCTCCAATAGCATTGCCCAAGTCTAACAACAAAAAAGGTCAAAATATAACATGATGTGTGTAATGCTCTGCCCCCAAAAGTCATCAAGACTGGATCACTTCCCACAAGGCAGCAATGAGTCTCTGTGAGCCTCTGCAGGACTCAGTTTTCATGAGTTTTTTTTTCCCTCTGAATCTACCTGTAGGTCACTCTGCCCCTCAAAGAGACCCAGATTTAGGGTCCTATGACTTCTCTCCCTACATATCTTCCTAGAACTAGACTGGTGAGCCACATTTCCAAGCACTGCAGGCAACTCTGGGGAGTCTAGGAACACTTGGGGTCCCCAGGTCATTCCTGGCTTTGTCCCCAGAGGACCGGAAGCTGTTTGTGGGGATGTTGGGCAAGCAGCAGGGTGAGGAGGATGTCAGACGTCTGTTCCAGCCCTTCGGCCATATCGAGGAGTGCACTGTCCTGCGGAGTCCTGATGGTACCAGTAAAGGTGACCTGAACTGCCCCCTGGGTTTTCCCGGTGACCTTTTCTTACCCTCTGACTACTGTGGCCTGAATCATCCCATTCTTCTTTCCTGCACCAGGCTGTGCCTTTGTGAAATTTGGGAGTCAAGGGGAAGCTCAAGCTGCCATCCAGGGACTGCACGGTAGCCGGACAATGACGGTAAGAGCAGGATCCAAGGCTGAGGGTGAGGCCAGTGGGGTGGGGACCTCGTCCTTTTACTGTACAGACTCCAGGGCAAGGCCTTTCAGGCCTGCTGGATAAGGTGCTGGACTCAGAGCTCAGTAAGGGTCGGTACAGGTTACTTTGCCTTTCCTCTGCCCAGGGCGCCTCATCCAGCCTGGTGGTGAAGCTGGCAGACACCGACAGGGAGCGCGCACTGCGGAGGATGCAGCAAATGGCTGGCCAGCTGGGCGCCTTCCATCCAGCGCCACTGCCTCTCGGGGCCTGTGGCGCTTACACCACTGCGGTAGGTGCCTGCCTCTGGCCGCAAGTGGGTAAGACCTGGCTCCCGGTCGGGAGATGAGGTAATTGCCAGCCACTGAGGCCTCTACAGACGCCCCTCTTCTTTCCCCAAGATCCTGCAACACCAGGCAGCATTGCTGGCGGCAGCACAGGGTCCCGGGTTAGGCCAGGTGGCTGCGGTGGCCGCTCAGATGCAGCATGTAGCAGCCTTCAGCCTGGTGGCTGCACCACTGCTGCCTACAGCAGGTAAGGGACCCAAGAGACTGAAGCCATGATGGGGAGGACTCATAAAGTGCCACTCCCTGACTCTCTTACCTCTACCTACAGCCAACACATCACCTGGTGGCGGTGGCCCTGGTGCACTTCCTGGCCTTTCAGCTCCCATGGGGGTCAATGGATTTGGATCCTTGAGTCCCCAGACCAACGGACAGCCAGGCTCCGATACGCTCTATAACAATGGGCTTTCTCCTTATCCAGGTGGGTCACTCTACCCTGTTGACCAAACCTCCTGGAAATCGAGTGGGAAGCGAGGCTTCTTCCAGGCAAGGCCCTGCTTGGGGGGGAAGGGATTCCTCAGTCTTCCCTGCTGCCTTTCATAGAGGCCCTCCATGTCCCACACTCCCATTCAGGGACTCTCCCCTGGCCCCTGCCCACCCGCTTTCATCGTGGGCCTTGGGCCCCCTCTCTCTCCAGTCCAGAGCCCCGGTGTGGCTGACCCCCTGCAGCAGGTCTACGCTGGGAGACACCACTATGCAGGTTTCACATGGCGCTGCCCAGCCTGGGGGAGTGTGGGTGTGGGGTGTTGAATGGCCTCAGAAAGGAATAGGGAGATTTGTGGGAGGGTTAGGCTCTGTTCCAAGGAGTCAACTCTTCATCCTGTAGAGTCCCCAGCCCCTAGCAACTTGCCTTGGGACAAGGGTTATGGTGAACTGGTTGAATCTGCCAGAGCTGGTCAGGCAGATGGAGATCCATTTGGGAAATGGCTCCTGGGGGTCACTGCCCACTCCCACCTCTGTCTCCAGCAGCCTATCCCTCGGCTTATGCCCCAGTGAGCACAGCTTTTCCCCAGCAGCCTTCAGCTCTGCCTCAACAACAAAGAGAAGGTGAGGGACCAGGGGCTGGAGAGCAGGGGTTTTGTGGGTGTGCCCCTTGGGGTCCTTCACCTGAACAAGCTTGCTACTGTTTCTGCAGGCCCAGAAGGCTGTAACCTCTTCATCTATCACCTGCCTCAGGAGTTTGGGGACGCAGAACTCATACAGACATTCCTGCCCTTTGGAGCTGTTGTCTCTGCCAAAGTCTTTGTGGATCGTGCCACCAACCAGAGCAAGTGTTTTGGTGAGCTGATCTGTCCCTGTGCTTCAGGATTCCCTAGGAACCATACAAAAGACTTCCAGAGACCGAGTGTTACAGGACAAAGTGTGGGCACAGCAAGCCTTATTTCAGATCACCTGAGAATCTTGGGTAACTAGAATGTGTGAGATCAGGAAGGCTTCAGCTTTAGAGTTTGTCCAGAGCTGGTTAGGTCTAGGTTTGGAATCAAGAGTTGCCTTCAGACCCCAGCTGCAGATCTGAAGCCAGATTGGGAGGAGTGGAATAAAGCAGCCAACCCAAACCAGGAAAATACTCTGAATAACACACTGTCCCTTCCCCTCACCAGGCTTACTTCCCATCTTTCTGGAAATCACACCTTTAGGAAAGATTTGCCTCTACTAAGCATGTGTCTATGCTTATTTATGTATGTATCATACATGCTCACATAGTTAAGCAATGGAAGGGTACATATGTGATGGACCAAGTCTGGGAATTAGAGAAGGGAGATCCTGATAAGCTGAATTCCCAGCTAACCTGTCTGCCCACACCCTCCAGGCTTTGTTAGTTTTGACAATCCAACCAGTGCTCAGACTGCCATCCAGGCCATGAATGGCTTTCAGATCGGCATGAAGAGGCTCAAGGTCCAGCTAAAGAGACCTAAGGATGCCAACAGGCCTTACTGATCAGCACTCACTGATCAGTAGCAGATAGGTGAGTCTTTGATGGATGTCAGGCAAATGGGGCCCAGGTCACAAGACCCTGCCAGCTTTGGGGTGCTGCCCTCTGAGAGATTCAGGCATAAAGAGAAGAGCCAGAGACAAGGATGCCAGAGACTGGGATTTTCTTTCAACCCAAAGTTCAAGATGAATTAGACATCCTTGGTGCTTCCAGTCTTGGAGAGGTGATTTCTAGGAACATTCAGCCCATTCTAGTCTAGTGACCCCTGCAGGAAGCCATAGGAGCAGTGAGCTCATATAGGAGGGGGGTAAAGGGAGTTTGGTTCAGTTCATGAGGATCTCACAGGCTGTAAGTCCTGACTTTATAGTGAAGGGGATAGAATCACTGGGCAGTTTGGATGCAGAAGAGAGCAGCTAATGTGGAAATGGAGAGAAGTCAAGATCCTCAAGAGCTAGACCTGCAGGGCTTAATGGACAATGAGCGTTGTAGTGACAAGGTCCATGTTTCTGGAGGGGCCACAGGAGGCTGCCTGCAACTTGGAGAGCTGTGCTGTCCTTGCAGGTCCCCCTGGCCTCAACTCACTCAAGCTGCCCCAGAAACTCTCTGTAGAGCATTGACTACAATGATCTGCCTGTGATCTAGGCAAGAGCTGGCTGCTGTGGCCAGGATGCTGCCAGGAAGAGAGACCCTGACACTTAGCTGAGATGTCATAGAGGAGACAGGCAGCTCTTATCTTACTCTCAGTGACCTTTGCCTCCTCCTGCCCCTGTCTCCTTATCAATTAATACCCAACAACAGAAACTGAAGAGTGAGAAGAAAGGAAAAAGAAAAGCACAGAAATGCTGGAGTGGCCCTACCGGAAGGAGCGGCAGCAGACGCAGGTGGACCGGACCCAGGGCTGGCGCCTGGGGCTCAGGCCACTCATCATGTGGGTTGTTCCACGGAGTGCTCAAGCTGGCAGGGCAACCAGTGCTGGCTGAGGATCGACTGATCTAAGGGAACCAGCAGAGGGCCTCGGGGGTGCCAAGGGCTTCTCAGCAAGGGAAGCCCAGATTTACTTCGTTCAAAATCATATCATTCCTTAGTGTTTAGGGACCAAAGGACTATTGCTTTTTTTAAGAATATATATATATATATATCTATATAAATTAAAACAAAGAAAAAAAGCAGGAGAGATAAAAAGAGAGAGAGAAAGAAAGAAAGAAAGAAAGAAAGAAAGAAAGAAAGGAAGGAAGGAAAAAAGGAAGGAAGGAAGAAAGAAAGGACATAGAGTCTCATAAAAGCTGCCTTTAACTATCCCTAGGAGACAGGGTGAAGGAGACCCTTGATAGCCCCAGCCTAGGCAGAGGAGGCTGTGAAGAGATTGTCCTGTGTCTCATTCCTTTTGAAGCTACTTCCTTACCCTGCCCCCCCCCCTCAAAAAGGATAAAGGATGTGAAGTCTAGGCTCATAGTCCAGCAACAAGAGGGTTATGGAATGGAAGCAGTGAACCCACAGTCCCCAAACCCAGACAGTATCCCCGAAGAGGCCTCAGGAGGAGCTCAGGCCTGCTCTGCTCTTTGCTGTCCAGGGAGAGCCCCAGCCATCAGAGGTGGGACCCTGCCTTTCCTTCCTGATGCCCTTTCTTGTGGAGCTACAGCCCCTGCAGGCTGAAAGAAAGAGGGAGCCTTTTTCTTCCCAGTCCAGATAGACCAAGGCCAAGCTTTTGGCTGAGCTGAGACACCTCCTGTTTACCCTCCCCTTGCGACTGCCCCAGTGTCCCCTTCCTTGCTCCAGGCTACCTTCTGTCTCTTAGTCTAAGTTTGCCCACCTGTATAGTAGACTCAAGATATATGTAGAGGGCTGTGACAACAGACATGGAAGGCTTGCTGCTGTAAATACTGCCTTTGAGAAGGGGATAATCTTCACTTTGTAGAAGCTTCAGAATTAGAGGTCCCTCTTTACCCAGGACCCAGGAGGGAAGTAGATGTTTTGCCAAAATACTAATTCATTCCTTTAAAAGTACATCTTTCCTATGCAAGCGTGTCTCACATGTGCTTTACCCAAGGTGCTTTTAGATGGTGAGCAGTGTTCAGCTTAGAAGTGGTGTGTGCTCTGTCTGTCTGTCCTTGTCTGTCTGTTGTATACAGTGGGTGCCGTATAAAGCTGATCAACGGTGGTGCTTCCTGCTTGCTTCTGTGAGATGGGCAAAAATATTCATCTTAGAACACCACAATTCACCTTGCCTTGGTCAGCCCTTCCTGGGCCTGAGGGGCCTTGAACACATTTTTTTCCTACTGAAATAATTTACACTCTCACACCTAAGTTATGGATCAACCTAGTTTGAAGCTCCACAGGGTGGGGCATACTCTGGTCAAACACTGGAGACCTGCCATCTGATAACACTGGGACAGTGAAGGATATGGGTGGGAAAGAGAATAATCTTTCCGGGTCCTTTCTAAGAAAACATGTTCCCATCTGTTCCTCTGTCTTTGACCGGTTTTTGGAAGTAATGAGAATTAAAACTAGATTTGTCAGCAACATTACCAGGTTAGCTGTGGCTTACATCTACAATAATTGCCGGCTGGGAGGGGAACTGGTGCTCAGGCACACATACACCAGCATAGTGCTAACCCATAGATGAGCACCTCAGGGACAGGTAGAATATGCAACATCTGCCCATTCAAACAAAAAGATATTCACAGGCCATAGCTCAGATAGTACCGTGTTTACCTTGTGAGCCCAAGGACATTCAGACAAACAAACAAAACAGGCGTGCACCTGTAAACTCAGCACTAGGGCAACAGAGACAAGTAATCTGTGAGGCCACTGGCCAGCCATCCCGGCCAAATTGGTGAGTTAGAGGACACTGAGTGACCCTATCTCAAAAAATTAGGTGATGGCACCTGAGGAATGACAGCTGAGTCGTACTCTGGTCTCTGCTTATATGTACACACAAACTGGCACACACAGAAACAACGTTAGGCATTCGCCTAAAAGCACACAATTCTCTCTGTGCTAGATGTTAAGCATTGTTCTAGGGCTCAAGCTACTACCAAGTACCAGGAGTCAAGGGGAAACACCGAGTATTAAAGCACAGACAATGGAAGGACATATGTGGTCTATAGCAGGAAGAAATCTACTAACTGCTCTAATATGGGGAGAGGCCCAAGAAAGTCTTCCTTGAAGGAACTGGGATATTCAAACAAAGTCTTTGAGCAACTGCATAATTTTGAAAAGGACGTTATAGCCAAGAAATGATAATCACTTACTTCAGATTCTATTACATTACAGACATGTCAAGACCTTTTACTATTCCTAAACTTACTCCAAACCTTAACTCAGTAGTGAGTCGTGTCATGGCATCTGAAACAATATGGAACTGTTTTACTTCATACTGTAGGGTATGAGTGAGGGCCTGGCAGCCTCTAGATCCCTAAGCTGCAGGGGTTGGTGCAATTTAGATCAAGGGTTGGCAAACTATGGTCTGTCAGCCAAACCTGACCTATGACATATTTTTGTATGACATACAAATTAAGAATGATTTTTTAAAGAATGATTTTAAAAATTTTTGCAAGGATTTTGTTATATTTTTAAACTATGAGTATGCATACAAGTCTGTCTGTGGGGCAATGCCCATGACCGCAGTTGACCATAGAGGCCAGAAGAAGGCATTGGAGTTCATGGAACTGGAGTTCTGGGTGTTTGTCACCTACCTGATGAGGTTGCTACACACTGAACTTGGGCCTCTGAAAGACGAATGCACTCTTAACTACTGAGCCATATCTCTAGTCCCCATTTTATATTTTCTAGAGAGCTATCAAAACAAAATGATGACACAGAGCCCTATGTGACTCACAAAGCATAACACATTCAGCTGGTCCCTTAGGCAAGTTTACTGATGGAAGTTTGTAGAATGTCTGAGTTTGAGCAACCCTGTGCTGTGTCTTTGTGTGTGCATGTAATAATCTGGCCCTTTTCAATTGCAAGTATCAAAACCTAAACACAAACATCTTTAAGTCATTAGGAAATTAAATAGGTCAAAGGATAAATCCTGCCTCCAGGCATTGCTGAACCTAGGGGTTTAAATGATGATGTTTCTACCTCTTGATTCCACTTCCTTTTATATGTTGATCTCACTACTTCTAGCTCTAAAATCCTAGGGAAGACTTTCCTCAGCCTTGAGCACATGCATGCCTCTAAGATGGGAAACTGGGCCTCTTTTCCAGGTCTGTGAGGAAGGGGAGAAATAGCTTCAAAAAGGGAAAGATAATCAACAGATATGGATTATCCACCTAGCAAATTTTAGCATTTATTGCATCCATCTATACTTTTATTGACAAACATACAATTCCAAAACTGTGTCTGCTTAACAGTATGATAATCCTGGGCCCACCAAAGCATACACAGCCACTGTCTGGTGAGAGACAAAACAGTTACAGACATGATTGCTTTACCCAGTCCTGGTGCCTTAGTGATGTGCGTGCCATTCTTGATCAGGTCTAGATGTCCTAAGATTTTGCAATATGTGGCCAAAAGGCTGATTTTTCACCCCTACATAACCAATATAAAGTAGTGGAGGGAGATTAGAGCATAAGTTTTTAGAACTCTTCCATTCAGAATAAGACAGAAGAGAAAACCATGGACACCAATCTATAGCACTTCCTTCCAGATAGCACAATGATTGCTCCCAATTCTCTCCACTGGGAAATAGCTTTTTTATTACCCATTACCCTTTTGTGGACATACCTGAGAAGACAGCTTTAATAAAATCAAAGCATCCCTCACCCAGTTTTTCATGGACTGGGCTCTAAGAATTGCAGCTATATGTATTAACTCATCCCTGGGCTCTCTGTAGGCTAGTAACTCAAATGGTTTCCAGACCCCTGATGAATGAATCACCCTTGAGTCTTGATCTGGCCCTCTGAAATTATGCCTCTCAGCAACTGTTCTAGGTTTATTTCTGTTGTGATAAAATCCTTTGACAAAAAGGATAGGGACTTATTTCATTTTACAATTCCAAGGCATAGTCCATCATTGTGGGAAAGTGAAACAGGAGCTTCAGAGCTCTAGCCACATTACATCCACAGCCAAGAGCAGAGAGAACTGGATGCAGACCTGCTCAATGACTTGCTTGCTCACATTCAGCTTGGTTTCTCTACTTTTACACAGCTCAGGATCCTCTGCCTAGGGACTGGTGCAAAGACTCACAGTGGACTGCTTCTTGCATCAGTTAATACAATCCCTCACAGACATGCTCACAGGCCAATTCAATAATATAGACAATTCCTCATTAAGACCCTTCTTCTGTTGGGCAGTGGTGGTGTTCCCCTTTACTCCCAGCACTTGGGAGGCAGAGGTAGGTGGATCTCGGTGAGTTCAAGGCAAGCCTGGCCTACAAAGCAAGTTCCAGGATACCCAGGCCTGTTACATAGAAACCCTGTTGGGTGGCGGGGTGAGACTTCTCCCATGTGATTCTGGGTTGTGTCAAATTGACAGAGATAACCATAATGGCAATAGGTCACAAATGAACATTCTTCTGCTCCTCAGCTTCATGGTTTCTTTAACAGTACATCTATTTTGGTGCCCCTACAGAGACAACTCCCATTCCATTCTTGTATGGTAGTCAAATTATCTGACTTCTAGGCCTCAGGCTCAAGAAGATGCTTAGTGTAGGATTGGGGCAACCATACATGTACTTATCCGGCCATCAGTCTACAGCTTCCTGCATGCCACCCACTCCAGCCATAGCCAGTTTTTACATGGAGGCTGCATCAATAAAGGACTCCTGAGGAGACTGTCAGTTAATCCTGAACCTTGAACCCAAATAGCTTGGAGATTGTGGGCAGAGTCTTCAGCCCTTAAATGGACCTCTGGGGTTGATTTCCTTCCCTAGAAGCAACCCAGGTAGGTATCCTGAATACAAAGGAAAAAGGCATATGATCTAAGATGAGCATGATTACTGTGACTTCAGAAACAGCTCTGGGGACTGGAAAAATGACTCAGAAGTTAAGAGCAGTAGCTATTCTTCCAGAGGTCCTGAGTTCAATTTCAGCAACCACATATGGTGGCTCACAAACATCTGTAATAGGATCTGATGCCCTCTTCTGGCCTGTATATAATTATTGAGCCAGAAATAACTCTGGCTGTACTGCTATGTGCTCTGC